CCCCCCCCCCCCCCACGCTCCACTGGATGTGTCCTTTTTATTTATTTTCTTTCTTTTCTTATTTCCCTTTGATTATTTTAATCATTCCCAACAGCAGTGATGATAATGCAGTGATGACATGCACCGAGTAGGGTATGACAAGGAATGAAGGAAGGTCCTAGGCAACTTGATGACTATGTTTTTTTTCATAGGGTCAAGGTGTATGGCTGAAAGATTGTCCTGGGCTGAGGCCAGATTATGTCTACATATGAAACTATTATGGTATCAACCAAAAACAGTCATATAAAAAAAGATGAAGATGATTACGTCATGAACTTGAAATCCACTAAGGGTCCGTTTGGTACACGGAATTCACGTAATTGGAATTGAATTGAGAGTTGAAATTCTATGGAATTCATTTGGATGGAATTGAATTCTCCAAATCCAATTAATTTTTGGCACTACCATTTCCTAATCCACCTATTTCTGTGCTACCGAACAGCAGAATTGGAATTGTTGTCTCCAATTCCAATTCCATAGTTTGAATTCCGTGTACCAAGCAAACGGAACCTAAAGGACTTGAAGCAGTCTTTTTACATCCATGGATTAAAACGGCTATGCTGCCTACCATATACTGAATGTGTCCATACTTTAAAAATCTGAATTACTATTGGACTATCCAGAATGTTTGATTCCTGTCCATTGTCAATCCATCATTTCATAAACACAAGTATAAAACAAAAGCAATACCGGCATTATATATAACTAAACTGGCTTTAAGAAGATAATACTGAAATATCACCAACTAATCTTGCTTCAAAAAAAAAATATCACAAGCAAATCAATACAATCAAGGGAGTCAATAAGAGAAGAGAAGAGAAGGAAACAGAGGGAAACTCACTGTAATGGACTTTTTATCCACGGGCCTCGTCTTTCGGCTTCTATCTCTCTCTAACCCTAATCCTCTGTTTCCCCCCCTTTTTGTCTCTCTAGTGGAACTCCTTGCGTTTTTCTTCTTAATTGAAGCAACCTCCAAGTTTCTATCCATGGCTGATCGGCGGCAGTTAAATCGGCGCCTCTCTTGGTCGCTTTTCTCTTTTTTCTCTCTTCATTTTCCTTTTTTCCGACTCGTGTTTTTACTCGAAATACTCCCATCCAATTTAGTTTGACCTTCCATTGAATAAAGAAAAAAGACATGGAAGATATAGCAAAATAAGACTTAAATGTTTTTATTTCTGAAATAGGACTTACATTACCAAACATGGTCATATACATTACCAAAAACGTATGGTAATGTGCACATGTACACTGTCACATTACCACAGTGCAAAGTCATATTTCGAGAAAAAAAACATGAAAGTCCTATTTTGGTACGTTTCTCTATGTTTTAGTCCTATTTAGGGTGATTTCTATTACTCCCTCCGTCCCAAATTATAATACATGTTCACTATTCACAGAGTCAAACTTCATTCACTTTCTTTCTCTATTTTCGTTAGTAATTTGATAAAATAAAATATTGTTGTCACTACTAGTTTTGTAGATCTTTTGATGTAGTATTTTGATATGTAATTTTTATTTTTTAACTCTATACCATTTTTCATATAAAATGATTTGAAAATAACTTCAGTCAAACATCGTAAACCGAAACAGACGTTATAAAATGGGACGGAGGGAGTAAATAAAAGAATAAATCTATTTTTTAATAAGGTATTTTCTTAAATTAATTCTAATTACTAGTGTAGTCCTTTATAATTGTGATACATTCACTAAATAATCTTCTACCAGAAATGTCTCTTAAATGATAGTCAAATAGAAAGAATTTTGGCATCATCTATCAGCTAGCTAGGTTTAAAGTATATTTTCAAAATGCTCTGTATTTTGGCATCAGTATATTTTTTTTAAATTGATAATTTGTAAGTAAATGTAATGAGCCTATTTAGAGTGGCTTCGTTCCTCTAGCGGCCATCTAATTAATTTCAATAAACCAATTTGAGGACTAATTCATAATTTAAATGATGAAAAATATAGAAATACTCTTTCTTTAATTGTTATTTAATATGCATTTTTTACAGAGGATTATTTAGAAAATACTTTTCAATTACAAATAACTATGTTGGTAATTATTATTTATTGATGATTAATTTAGAAAAATGCCTTATGAGTAAGAACCATTTTGAAAATTTACTCTAAATAAAATTGATATTCTAGATATTGATACAAAATAATATTATTAGATTTATATTATATATATACGGAGGAGAATTATCAAAATGGAATTGCTATATCCATTCAAATTTTGACTATATTTACTCTTTTTATATTAAATGAACAATTTTATTTTAAAAAATGGCCTTGCATTAAAATTCTATATTGTATTTTTGAGGTTAGAATTATCAATTTAACATTAATAGAGTGGATATAGTCAAAATGAGGGGTAGATGTAACAACACCATTTCTAAATATTGTTTTATCTAATAATTACGGAGTCTTTTTTATAAATTTTATTTCATTATTGGTCAAATATTGAAAATAATTAACTATGAGTCAAAGTGAATAAATACTCAGGAATGAAGAGTGAATATAATATCTTTTTTGTCGTCATGATATAAAAAATTGATTCTTTATTTTTAAATTTTTGAAAATTTGATTCTTTCTCTAATAGAAACACAAATAGATATAAAGAATAAAATTTTTGTATTCTGATGACATGATAAAGAATCAAAAGGTTGATTCTTTATATAACAAAAAGAGAAGTAGATTTGCCTTCAAAAAAAGAAAGACAAATCGATATATATGAAAATAATTTTTGGATATCAAGGATCGAAAATTGGATACTCTCTCTGTCCCAAAGTATTTGTCCACTCTCATTTTTACACATCATCCAATGCACTTCTTTAATTCATTTTATCTTGTAATTTGTATATTAAAAAATTATAAAAATTATATATTAATAATCTATATGTTAAGACAAATCAAACAAAATTACACATGATTATATTTAGGCTTACACACTGAGAGAATTTGATTAGTCAAAATGCTTAGATGAACAGTTCTAAAAGTCAAAAGTGGAATATAGCGGGACGGAGGTAGTATGAAATATTTAATGTTCAATTTTTTATTTGGAAAAAAAAGTTGGTTTGGACATTCTTAGATTAATTTTCACACATTTTTACTTTTTCTAACGTGATTTGTAAGGCGAACGTGATGCATGTTTGCAAATAACTTTATCTATTGATATTTTATTGTGTTTTTTGACATTGTATATTGACATTATTAAGTGTCATTTTTGTCAATATGCATTACTATCTTTTGGATTATAATTCCAAATTTTTGACTGACACTGTATAATGACATTGTGACACTGCAACAGAAAAATAGATCAACATGATTTTTTTAATAGATACTGCAATTTGTTTAAATGGCTTTTGAATCTAATTTTAAGATAAAAACATTTGAGTCTAATCAAAATTTACATAGTTATTCCAGTCCAATTAAATCAAATTCTAACCTAATTACGTGAAAATATCTTGGCTTACGTGACAGCAGAAATATTAAGTTGGTAACACATCCAAAATAATATTAGGTAGTGTTTGGCAATTAACATTTCATTTCAATTCATGCATTTCAATTCCAAAATTTGAAATCTTGAATTTCAAATGACAAGGGGAGGTGCATGGATTTCAAATTAAGCATTGTTTTGAATGTAAAGAATTTGACTCAAATCCAAATTCAAAATGCTTAGATTTCCCAAACATGGAATTTAAGTCAAATCCGGATTTGAAATCCAAATCCATGTTCCCAAACGTACCANGGTAGTGTTTGGCAATTAACATTTCATTTCAATTCATGCATTTCAATTCCAAAATTTGAAATCTTGAATTTCAAATGACAAGGGGAGGTGCATGGATTTCAAATTAAGCATTGTTTTGAATGTAAAGAATTTGACTCAAATCCAAATTCAAAATGCTTAGATTTCCCAAACATGGAATTTAAGTCAAATCCGGATTTGAAATCCAAATCCATGTTCCCAAACGTACCATTAGTAAAATGAAATTTGATATTTTATGGTGAGTTATTGATTATTTCAAGACAACTGAATTATACTTGGAAAAAGCGATTAGAGTTCCGAATTCTTATCCTAAAATAGAGTTCTCCAACAGCATTTTTTTGCACAAAATACGAGAGCAGTGGTTGCTAGGCGCTGAGCCGGAAGACGACCCACCGGAAGACGAGGATGGATGCGTGGTAGGTAGTCGGTTGGGTGGTGTTAAGAATATAGGGGCAAAATAGACCATTTGATCATATTGCACATCCCAACAAAGGAAAGTGGACAAAAACAACGAACTACCTGAAAAGAAAAAGTGAACAAATACACAATGTGAAGAAGAGAGTATAATTTACCTAGACCATTAGAGTGCAAAAAGATGAAGTCCATCTATATTTCGAGCGAAGCAAAAAAAAAAAATACCCAATTCAGGTCATATTCCCTGTGTTTTATTTTATTGTCAACACTCCGTCTCCTCAATTTTTCATCATCTTGGCATTTCCATCATCACATCCTCTATAATTTAGACTCTCTGGTCAGATTCCGAACTTCCTAATTCCAGACTCGGCTCTCTGTTTCACGTCTGCTGCATAAGAGTTAAAGGGGCATAGCACTAGGGAGTCTGATACACAGAAGCATTTAGGGCCACGGCGGTTATATTCAAACCCAATCTTCATCAGATACTTTCTTAGAAATATAATCATCCCCCAAATAAATGTAACAACCACCAGAATCTAGCGGAGGAGCCAGAAGATGTAATGACACACACTTACCAACCAAGCCAAGCCAATCCAATGCTTCTAACCACTCTTGCTTCTTACGGAGAAAAGGATTGGCCCTGAGCATGCTAATGACCTTGTCAAAGCCAGGACAACGGGAAGTACCAGACTTTAAAGAATCAAGGCGTGGCAGCCTAAAGTCAAAAGGCCTCAGCCCAAGCCACTTGATGTTCGCAAAACCAAGGTCACTAGAACACACATCTTCTTTAAAGTCTCTGGTGAGATCCCACCCATAGCAGCTAGGCAAGAATTCGAGAGGTGTGTCAAGGAAGGTCAAGAGGTCGAGGTGGTGGGGGTCAAGGTCGGTGACAGCAACAATGGGAATGTCAGGGTATGCTGTCCTCAATAGCCTGACAAAAAAGTAAGACAATTTGTCCCAACTAACACGAATCACAAGGTACTCAGACTCACTATTTGAGGACACCAGGTCCTTCAAAATCCGATCATTCAATGCCAAAAGAACAACAGATGCAGTGGTTGCAACAGAGTGGGTATGCATAATCTTAGAAAGCGTGATGGGTCTACGCTCAACATCCAGCAACTCGTATTGGCCATGAATGCCTAGGTCTGGAACTTGAGCAAATGGGAGTGGTGCATAAATAGATTTTGGTCTCTTTTCAATCAAGATTGGGTAGCCATATTCGCAGCTGCCCATGTCGTCCTCGTGTGCTTCCTCTCTAAATCGCACAAGCTTACAGATAGGCAACCAGCGCATATCCGCCTTGGGCTCTCTAAATTTTCTTTTTTTTGCTGCGTCTATGAAGTAATACAAGATGAGAATCTCATCTTGGCAGCCAGGATGGAAGGCAGATGCCAGAGTCTGGTTGTCCTCCAAATGTGGTCCTTGTGGCGACATCAATGATCTAATGTCAGCATTAAGTGGATGCAAGCCAAGGTCCATTGCTGTCTGGCAGACCCGAGCCTTGACATAGGTAATGGTATCGGAAGATTTGAACCCATCAAGAGTAAGCGGTTCTGTTGGTGTTAGGGAACCTAGATTAACAATGAGCTGCAAAGCCAATCAATGTTGAAGTAATTTTAGAAAAAACAAATGCATCGCCTAAAAAACGCAAGATTATACACATGCATCGCCCAAAAGGCTAAAACACGCTTATATATAAAAAAAAAAAGATGATGATGATGATGAACTTGAAATCCACTGTAGGATTTGAAGCAATCTTTATAAATCTATGGATTAAAAACCACTATGCTATGTATCTATCCATACTTAAAAGTTCTGATTCATTATTGGAAAATCCAGAATATTGGATTAATTTCCAATGCCAATTCATCATTTCATAAACCCATGTATAAAACAAAAGCAATATCAGCATTAAATATTTACTCGGACTAACCTAGCTTTGACAAAAAAATACTGACTAATCTTGTTTCGACACGAACATCACCCGCAAATCAACATTGTATAGAACCAGCGACTTCTTTACACAATCAAGTGAGTTAACAAGAGAAGGAAACAAAGGGAAACTCACCGTAATCGAGTTTTTATCCATGGCGACCTCCTCTTTCCGCGTCTCTCTCTCTAACCCTAACCCTCTGTTTTCCCCACTTTTTTTCTCTCTAGCGAAACTCCTATCCTTTTTCTTCTTTTTTGAAGCAAGCATCAAGTTTCTATCCATGGAGGATCGGATACGCGGCAGTTTATCTGCGTCTCTAATCTCAAGACCCCCTATTCTTGATTTCTTGTTCGGTCTGTTCTCATTCAAATTAGTTAAGTAGGGTAATAACTCACATCTCCCAAATTATCTCAAATATATTCCGTGTACCATTTGATTATTTTTGGTAAGATCTCTCAATTTATACATTATTAAAAATATACTATGTGATACTTAAAATTTAGAAAAAATTACCCAAAATAATCCCAACTTTACTCGGTTTTTTAAAAATAATCCTACCTTTCACTGTGATGCATAATAATCCCAACTTTACTGAAATTTGCCAGTTTTGGGTCGTTGTTAAGTTTCTAACGGAGGGTTAACGGAAATGCCCGTTTTAGGCAACAAAATGAAAGTTTCGATTATTTTTGATGAATTTTTGTTTTTTTTTTGAAATTTTTATTTAAATTTTTTGAATTACTTTCAAGTTTCAACCTCCATTTCTTTTTTCTTTTTTAAAGATTATTCTTACCTTAGAAAAAAATAGATATAAAAAATAACGAAAATGAGAAAAATAACTAAAACCATACAAAATTAATCAAATAAATAATGTAATCAATAGAAATAAACAGAAATTTGTAAGAAATAAAATAAATATATACGGAGTGGTGCGTTTTAACATTTTACACACTATACGGAGTCTTAATGTACTACTTATTTTTTAAAAGACAAGCCGTCCGATAAAGTTGGAATTATTGTAGATAATTTTTTCTAAAAAAATAAGAAGTGATATGTTAATACTTTGTATAATGCGTAAAGTATTAAAATCCACCCGTATATTTTTATTCTACTTTTACCAATTTCAAGTTAGTTTCTATTTATTACCTTATTTATTTTATTATTTTTGTATCATTTTAGTTACATTTCTCATTTTTTCATTTTTTATATCTATTATTTTTATTTTTTAAACTAAGACTAATCTTTAAAAAAGGATAAAGAAATGATGATGGAGGTAGAAAGTAATTTAAAAAATTGAAATGAAAAATTTAAAAAAAATAAAAAAAAAATGAAAATTCATCAAAAATGATCCTAACTTTCATTTTGTTGTCTAAAACGGGCATTTCTGTTAACCCCTCGTTAGAAACTTAAGGGTGACCCAAAATTGGCAAATTTCAGTAAAGTTGGGATTATTATGCATCACAGTGAAAGATGAGATTATTTTTGAAAGACCGGGTAAAGTTGGGATTATTTTAGGTAATTTTTCCTAAAATTTATGATATTATATTTAGAGTATGCATTTTCTCAATTTAAGCATTAGATTAAAAAATTATTTTACTTTGATAAATTGACATTTTTTATTCAAATTTAATAAAATAATAACTATTAATTGAATATTTAATATTTGTCAAAACAATAATACTTTCAATCATAATTGCCAAATAGACCGAGTTTACCCTAAGAATAGATTACCATAAATTATAAGGACCCCTAAAATTTTAAGGACCCCATAAATTTTAAGGACTCCTAAAATTTCAAGATTACACATGACTATATTTAGGCTTATACATTGAGAGAATTTGATGAGTCAAAGTGTTTAGATGAACAGTTCCAAAAGTCAAAAGTGGACGAATATAGCGGAACGGAAGGAGTATTTTGGATAATGTAAGTCTGATAGTTCTTACTAGAAAATCAAAGATACTTCGGAGTATATTTTTGATAATATGTGACTTGAAAGTCATTACAACAAATCAATGGTACCTCAGAATAATTTTTTGTATAGTGAGTTATTGAATATTTCAAGACAACTGGATTATATTTTGAAAAACAACTGGAGTTCAGAGTTCTTATACAAAAATGGATTAAATTATGTGTATCCCAATTTGTACATCGCAGATGTGCACATTCATTTCATGTTAGTGTAATGTTAAGGCGATAAATTCACACAGATATAAAATGTCACATTTTTATTAATGAATTACTACGTATCATTTTATGTCAATCTGAACCATAAAAATATTAATGTATACTTTTAGAGCTCCCCATCCACAATTTTTTTACTCCGTAGCAAAAAATACGGGTCTCTGAGAGCTGAGCCGGAAGACGGTCTACCGGAAGAAGCAGTCGAGAGAAAAGAAAAATTGAAAGCAGGTATTCTCTTGATTCTATTCTTATGGAATCTCTCATTCTGAAATTTTTATTTTCAACAGTTCTATATTATCTTCATTACTTTTTCTTGAAAATTGTTGTTTCTCTGGTTTCCAACATGCTAGTCTAAATTTTCACCTAGGGTTTGTGGGGTTTGATTTGAGAATTGTGGATCTTATTGTGTTTTTGACAGCTGAGAATAAAAATTGAAGCAATTACTTTTCATTCATAGGGTTCACTTGGACTAGGGAGGATGAGAAAATTAGGGATTTACTGATTTAGGGTTTTAGGGAGCATGATGTAATGCCAGTTACTAATGTGCATACTCTGGAAACCATTAAGATTAGGAAAAGTTCTAAACAAAAAACAGTAAAAAAAACTAAAAATGAAACATTGCAGAGAGTGAATCGGGTACTATGCTTGTGAGCTGAAGTTAAACTGTTTTTAAACATTCTTGTTATGCTTTTGGGGATCCATGTTTGCAAATTGCAATCATCTAGGCAGCCTTTGCTAGAGCTGTGTTATTCTACGAGCAAATAGGTCCGGTGCCCCATGTGGTTTTGGAAATGGGTACCAATACACACTCTTCAAAACTTATAAAATCCTCATGGTTTCAAAATGACACACACACACCCTCCAATCATATTTTGTTTGATTTTCTGATGTAGAGGGGGGGATTGATGTTTGTTTTCTAAATGATTTTATTGATTTCAAAAAAGAAAAAACCCTTATGAAAAAAAGAAACAAAGAGTAGAAAAAAGAGAAACAAAAAGATACGGAGTAGAAAAAAATTAAATTAAAAATGAACAGAAATTCGAAAATGGACTCCGGTGCTCCGTATGGCTTAGAAAGTAGGCATCAATGCCCACTCTTTGCGGGGAAATCAAACGGGAAATGATCAGAGGGATTCCGTGTGTAACATTTTGAAAATTGAAACCATAGAGATTTTATAAGTTTTGAAAAGACAGAGGTATTGGTGCTTATTTCCGAAACCACATGAGCTCTGGAGTATTTGCTTGTCATTCTGCTTAAGTAAAATTTTCTTTTAGATGTCAGATTCATATCTCTTTTGTTCTATGAACTTTAATGCTTGCACTACAAGTATTTAGTTCAAGTATTCAACCACTTTTACCAACACGGCGATGTTCATGACTTTTTTTCAATGCAGCCTTGCCATTTACCTTAAAAAATTGGGTGAAACCAAAACTTAATTTATCACTAGAAAGGCGGCAGATTGATTTGACATGTTGGATAAATTACATGGACCCATGGATTGGAGGGGATGGTAAGAGGACATCAATGTCAAATATGGTTCAGGTACTACATGAACCAATGCTAACTACTTCCTTCGTCCCGCATTATATTACAATTTTTTTCTCACCTCTCCATGACTTTTATTTATTTACATGTTTTCATTGATTATTTGATAAAATAAAAAAAAATACTTGTCACTCTTTTTTTGTAGAGCTTTTGACATAGTTTTTTAATATGAATGTTTTATTTTCTTATTCTTAAATAAACTGGTTTTAAAATATATGGGCGTTTTCTGTGTAATTCTAAAATTGTAATCTAATTTGGGACGGAGGGAGTTTGATAGAGCAATTTAGTATTCTCTGTGTTTTTCCATCAATAACTCATATTGCACAGGACCCCATATATATTAGGACCGGCCCCCCGGCTGCTAGTGGCGGGTACATAGACTCACATGTCAAGGTTGCGCAATATAATTGCAAAAGTCACTAAACTCAGCCAACTGAGACAACTCCATGGACACCTCATTCATTATTCTCTCCATTGCCAAAGCTACTGGGCAGCGCTGCTCATTAACCAGTGCACCCGCCTCCGGGCTCCGCGGTCCTACACTCGATACATTTTTGACTCAGCATGTGAACCCAATGTCTTTGTCTTCACCAGCATGCTTAAGTACTACTCCCAGTTTGGTGCCCAGAGTGATGTTCTCCATCTGTTTGCAGAAATGCAGAAGAGTAATGTGAACCCTGATGCATTTTTGTACCCGATAATGATCAAAACAGCAGGGGAGCATGGGATTGCATTCCATGCATATGTTATGAAAATGGGTCTGGACTGTGATAGGATCATACGCAATGCTATCATGGATATGTATGGGAAATTTGGGCCGATCGAGCATGCTAGACAACTGTTTGATGAAATGTCCGAGAGAGCTGTAGCGGATTGGAACTCGATTATTTCTGGATACTGGAAATGGAGGAATGATGTTGAGGCAAAAAAGTTGTTTGATCTGATGCCGGATAAGAATGTGATTACTTGGACAGCAATGGTGACTGGGTATTCAAGAATGAATGATTTGGTGAATGCTAGGAGATTCTTTAATCAAATGCCTGAGAGAAATGTTGTTTCATGGAACGCAATGATTTCGGGCTATGCGCAAAGTGGGTGTAGTGAGGAAGCTTTGAAGTTATTCACAGAGATGGTGAATGCTGGTATTAATCCAGACGAAACCACTTTGGTAACTGTTATTTCTTCCTGTTCTTCACAAGGTAATCCTGCCTTTGCTGAGTGGCTTGTCAGGGTGATTAACGAAAAGGGCATTCGTTTGAATGCCTTTGTGAAAACTGCTCTACTCGACATGTATGCCAAGTGTGGAAATCTAGAAATGGCAAGAAAGATTTTTGATGAGATGGGTCTGCAAAGGAACTCTGTTACATGGAATGCGATGATTTCTGCATATGCAAGAAATGGTAATCTGTCTTTGGCAAAAGAGCTCTTTGATAGGATGCCGATGAAAAACGTTGTGTCCTGGAATTCTATAATATCTGCTTTTGCAACGAATGGACAGTCAAAAATAGCCATTGATTTGTTCAAGGAAATGATTGAGAAGGAGTTGGTGCCCGATGAAGTAACCATGCTCAGTGTCATCTCTGCCTGTGGCCATCTTGGGGCTCTGGAATTCAGCAAAGAGGTCACAAATTTCCTAACTAAGACCCAAATTAAATTAAACATTTCATGTTATAATTCCTTGATTTTCATGTATTCCAAGTGTGGAAGCATAAACGACGCAAAAAGGACATTCCAATCCATGGAAAGCAGAGATGTGGTATCTTACAATGCACTTATTACCGGCTTTGCTGCTTATGGGAAAGGAGATGGAGCCATTGATTTACTCCAAAGGATGAAGGCAGAGAACATTAAACCAGACCGAATAACTTATACAGGAGTTTTAACAGCTTGCAGTCATGCAGGTTTGGTAGATGAAGGTCAAAGAATTTTTGAATCAATCAAAGCTCCTGAAGTTGATCACTACGCGTGCATGGTGGACTTGTTAGGGCGAAACGGTAAACTAGACGAAGCAAAGGGATTGATTGAAAGAATGCCAATGCATCCTCATGCAGGAGTATACGGTGCGCTTCTAAATGCCAGTAGGATTCACAAAAGAATTGATTATGGAGAGTTTGCAGCTGATAAGCTCTTTGAGATAGAACCAGAAAATGCAGGCAACTATATCTTGCTCTCCAATCTATATGCTTCTCTTAGGAGGTGGGAAGATGTTGAAAGAATCAGAGGACTGATGAGTAGAGAGGGAATATCCAAAGCAACCGGGTGCAGTTGGGTGGAACATCATGGGAAAATGCACAAGTTCAAAGTGGGTGATCTGTCCCATGAGAAATCAGACGAAATTTACAGAGTGCTTCGCGAGACGGAGAAGAAGATGAGGTTGACTGGATACAGAGCTGACAAGAGCTGCGTGTTGAGAGACATTGAAGAAGAAGAAAAGGAGGAGATGGTTGGGAGCCACAGCGAGAAATTGGCGGTCGCTTTTGCCCTTTTAGTGAGTGAACCGGGATCTGTGATACGGGTCGTGAAGAACCTTCGGATATGTAGGGATTGTCACACTGCCATAAAGATCATCTCCAAGCTGGAGAAGAGGGAAATCATTGTCAGGGACAACAACAGATTCCACTGCTTTAGCAATGGCCTCTGTTCCTGCAAGGACTACTGGTAAAACGTGTACAACAACAACAGCAAACTCAGTAAAAAAGCAAATCATCTTAAATAGGAGGATAACATAGCATTTATCCTCAAAACATGAGTTTTGTGTTTTTATTTTCAACATAGGAGTTTACACTGTATACTGACATCTCACAATATTTTTTGGTTCTCTATATTGGCACTATTGTCATTGTACTCCTATTTTGAAGATAAAAAACATGAAGTTCTTATTCCGGTACTTTCTTCATGTTTTACTCATAGTTTAATCTTTTTTCCTAGTAAAATCTCACAAAAAGTAGGGTCTGATAACGGGGTGTGTACGCTGATTTAACCCCACTTGAAAAAGTATGAGATTGTTTCCAAGAGACCTCAGCTCAAGCAACTAGATTTGTTACTCTAAATGTTTGCAGCTCTAAGGAGGATCATGAAATGCCTTTGGCAAAACGAAAACAACATCTAACTACTGACTCATACATAAACAAATCATTCATTCACGTAATTGTAACTCAAATCCTAAATATATGGAGTATTATTTAAATAGACTAGTTTTTTTGCAAGTACATAGAAAAAAATCATCCCAGAACAAAAATGTTAATTTGACTTGGTGTAGAATTCAAGAAAAATAAAATTATGTAGTTGAACGTGATGCACTGGAGTAAGAGTGATTGTGTGAAAAAAAGAGAATTTTAAAATTGGAAAAAAAAACTTTTTTTGGAACATTCAAAGAAAGAATGAGGTATAGAGGTGTGTTATTTTGGACAATTATAGTAGATTAAAATTTGTGTGGTTTTTTTTCTAGATTCAAATGATGTAAATTTACGGAGTATTAATTCTAGTCAAAGTAGAATGCCTAAGAAATAAACGTTGGAGGCACATGAAATCACTCACCTGATCAAACTAAAAACTAAATGTTTCTACTCTGCTTTAAGCTGGTCAAAACAATATTTCGGTTGTGGTTCACGATGTTTGACTGAATTTATTTTCAATTTATTTTTTTAAAAAAAGTGAAATAAAAAAATTATTTAAAAGTTACATCCAAAGTTCCATGAATCAGAAAGTGACATACCTATTTAATTTTTTTCAAATGAATAACTAAATCAAAACATAAAGTTAATACAATTTGACCATATATTAATAAATAGAAAATTTATTTTGAAACACAATTTGATAAATTTAACCATGTAAACAATACGATTCATTTGGTAGCAGGACTAGTGTCATCTCATAACTTCGCCGTCAAAGTACATGACTCCTAAAGCCATTTGTAGGTCTAATGTTACCCCGTTGGACCTCAACCCAAATCCACCCCCCGTCCCTCCCCAAAACCTGGTAAAGCCCCAGTTGCCCAATATCAGCGATCATTGGACGCACCCCCTCGCCTTTTGTATTATTTATGAAGATAAATAATACTTGAATTAGATTCCTGACAATGATAATATTACGCAACCATACACTATAACACATTTTTATAATCTCTATATATACTAGACATTCTTATTCATCAATCTAAAATTAAATCTCAATTTATTTCTTTCAGACTCTTATCAAGACTGGTATTGAGATACCTTATCAATGTAAAAAGACATCTTCATCTACCTTATGCCTGATGGCCAAGGGTATACATATGACCTGTAATCTACGTGGAAGATAAATTTTTCTTAATATTTTCCCCCAATCAAAATCCCCAGATCTACGGTTACAATTGGAATTCACCCCTTACCAGAATACTTCTTCTTTGCTCGTATATATACGCACCACATGTATTATCAGATGATCCCAATTTATCCCCAGCATTCTAAAATCTTCCCAGGGTTTTTCATCATCAACAGCTCAAGATATTTTATTTAATTGGTACTTGTATTTATTTGTTTATTGATCAGAAAAGTAAAATATTATACTTCGTATTTGTTTATTGTTTTATGGAATTATTATTATCCTTACGTACATAGGATAAAGTTTTGATCTTTGGAGGAATTTAGATTCAGATCTGCACAGTTCTTTGTGGGTCTGCTTTCTTTTTCGTTATCATGAACCTTTGATCACACTTCACTCCATTCCCCACCTTTTTTCCACTTTACGCTGCCTTCAAGATCTCCATTTTGCATTTTTTTCCTATAAATCAAGAATATTAGTCTCTTTTTAGCAAATTATAAATCAGATTTTCTTTGGTACAGTTTACATACATTTAGGTGATGATTTTTTTTCTATAAAAAATTGTCCATATATAAATATAAATTTGTCCTCATTGCTGAATTATGTTTAAATGTAGGAAAAATGCATGCGAATACTCTTTGAAATCTGAGATTTTACAAGAATACTCCAAGATTACATTATTATCAAAAACACAGTAATACTCCAAGATTGCATATTGATCATAGATATGCTTTACAAATTGGGGATCCATGTAAATTGATAAGTCTCTTGGAGTATTTTTGTATGAAATCTCAAACATCATGGAGTATTGACATGAGTTTTTCCTTAAATACATGTTAACAATCTCTGGGCAGATCTTCCATTGCATTTTAGTAATAATTCGATGCCGTGATTAGTGAAAAGATTGCTTTTTTATGTTCTTTTTCTATCAGTATAAACTTTTGGAGTCAATTGAATCATACTTGATCATTTGATTTCAACTTCTAGGGGGTAGTTTGAAAAATGGCTGGAAATGGAACAAAGCCCCCTCCAGAGCCTTCACCTTTGAGAAAGGCTAAATTTTTCCAGGTAGAATACTAATTATGGGCTTCTAGCTCTGTTGATGAGATTCAAGGTCAAACCTAGTTCATTTTATTGTTAACATTAAGTATCTTTTAGACATTACATCCTATTAAAACATGTCACATGCCTTAATTTGTTGATTTCTTTTCCTACATTGTTAAACTAGGCAAACATGAGGATTTTGGTAACCGGTGGTGCTGGCTTCATCGGGTCCCACCTCGTCGACAAGCTTATGCAGAATGAGAAGAATGAGGTAATTGGAGTGTCTGCTGGCTTGGGTTGTATGTTACAGTTTGGAAGCTCTCCTAGATTTAAGTCAAAATTTGGTAAACGTGAGGGGAGGGTTGGAAAATGGAGGTGGTTAAAAGAAATACAGATGACTGGGAAGGAATTATTATCGTAAAAAAATGTAAAAATGTTGTATATTTGGTATAGTTTTTGTTGTATATAAAAATGTGTTTCCATGTATAAAAATTACTGTGGAACAATTATGGTGAAAAAAGGTTAAAGAAATAATTTTTTTTTAAAAAAAAAACCCCAAACCAAACCAAACAAACCTCAAGCAGCTTTTAATATTTTAAGGTGTATGATTGATCTAGCTGAGTTAGTTATTTTTTTTTAATTCAGGTGATTGTTGTGGATAACTATTTCACTGGATCAAAGGATAACCTCAAGCAGTGGATTGGCCATCCAAGATTTGAGCTTATTCGTCATGGTATGCTTTTGTTTGTTTTTCACCTCTCAGTTTTATCTTGCCCTTCTTGATATATTCACCCTTCTGCATTTCTTGCAAGGCAGATGTCACAGAGACATTACTGGTTGAAGTTGATCAAATTTACCATCTCGCTTGCCCCGCTTCTCCAATTTTTTACAAGTACAATCCTGTTAAGGTCAGTCAATACCCACTTTTAGCTAATCTTGTTTTTATGCTTGTGCGTTTTTACCTTAGCCTTTAGCCGAGCCTCGTTGCTAGTTTTGGTATGTTTTTACCTTAGCCTTTAGGAGCGATAATAAATTTGCTTCAAACTTTTTTGAATTATGACTTGTGAGACTTCAATCCAAAACCAATTGGCAATGGGAGGAGCATCTTATATCCTTGTTTATTAGTCCTTTTTAATATGGGTGTTTGATTGGAACTGTATCCTCAACAAACTTATTAAATCAATTTACATTTTTGTTTAATCTAATTTGTTTTACGGCATTGCTACCATATAATGACTAAGAATTCAGTGGTTGAAAAAATGATTTAGTACGAGAACCATTTTCCTTGGCAATCTTATCTATAGGTTCAACAGCTTACTCTCAGTTACAACCATCTTGATTCTTTCATGTTTGACATTGCAGACAATTAAGACAAATGTAATTGGGACATTAAACATGTTGGGACTTGCCAAGAGAGTTGGAGCAAGGTTGGAATCACCTTCCTTCTACCCTTCAGTTTAAGGGCATATGATCTATGGTTATACCTTTTCTTACCATTTTTGTACTATGCTTATAGGATTTTGCTGACATCAACTTCAGAGGTTTATGGAGATCCTCTTGTGCACCCCCAGGACGAGAGTTATTGGGGGAACGTTAATCCAATTGGTAATCAATATGTTATTATTTTTTTTTCATTTTTCTTGGGGTTCTTAAGCCAATCTAAACTATCAATAAATTTTGGTTGGAGGCATGAAAGATCTAGAGTCAATTTTTTCTTCCGTCCCACTACTTTTTCCCACTCTTATCTTTTTAATGTTCACATATCATATTTGGTTATATTTGTATAGTTACATTCATTCTTACCTTTTAAGATCAGTATCAAAAGACTTAGTTTTGCTTCCCTCCCGCTATTTTTGCTCCTAGATCTATGAATGTAGTTTTCAAAAGACTTGGTTTTGCTTTTCAAAAAGGGCTAGCGAAGTATTAGTCAATCACATAAATATAACTAATTTATGGTATTTATTATCAATATCATCCCCGGTTGGCAAACAAAATGTCAACTAAAGGATCTCACTTTTCTTAATTCTCGAGCAACTCTCTAATGTCCTAAAAATAGTATAAATGTGCAAACAACCTCTCTACTCTCTATGTAACCAGTTGGAAACCGGAACCGGACCAGGGAAGGGTTCTGGTTAGTTTTCACATTTTTGGGAACTGGCAGTTCTGGTTCCATTAGTTTTTAATGCTAATTCTCAATTCGTTTAAGGTTGATTCACAATATCTACCAACAAAAAAACCCAGAACTGGTCGCGACCACCCCTACCTAGTTTCAGTTAGGGTTCCTCCCCTGGTAACCAGAACCGGTCCGTGTCCACTCTAGCTTACACTAAGCTTCTTCAAACCCCACTTTGGGATTTTACTGGGTTTGTTGTTTCATGATCTTAATAACTGAAACTACCTAAAAAAACATTCAAAAACCTGGGAATTGTAAATTGTTTTGGTTTAAGATTGAAAGAAACAAAACTCATCAAGACTTGAATTGAGTATGTTAATCTAGGTCACTTTTCCCTTGAAACTATTCACATCGTTGTTTTCATTTCAGGAGTTAGGAGTTGCTATGATGAGGGGAAGAGAGTGGCTGAGACTTTGATGTTTGATTATCACAGGCAGCATGGGATAGGTATCTCTTTTTTCCCCTTCATAAATGCATGCAATCCTTTGGTTCTCATTATTTCTTAACTTTATTTTTGTGGACTAAAATGGCAGAAATACGCATTGCTAGAATCTTCAACACGTACGGTCCGAGAATGAACATCGATGATGGCCGTGTTGTTAGCAATTTCATCGCTCAAGCAATTCGGTAATGTTTGATGGAGTTGAATGACAGATTTACCCCTCCCTTGACCACATGCTTATTACTACCTCCGTCCCGCTATATTCGTCCACTTTTGACTTTTGGAACTGTTCATCTAAGCACTTTGACTCATCAAATTCTCTCAATGTGTAAGCCTAAATATAGTCATGTGTGATCTTGTTTGATTTGTCTTAACATATAGATTATTAATATATACTTTCTATAATTTTTTTAATATACAAATTACAAGATAAAATCGATCAAAGAAGTGTAGTGGATTGTGTGTAAAAATAAAAGTGGACAAATACTCTGGGACGGAGGAAGTATATGAGAGTAGTTTACTACTTGCTTTGACATATATGCTTTGTTATTTTTATGGTTGTGTAGGAATGAGCCCTTAACTGTCCAGTTGCCCGGAACACAAACCCGTAGCTTCTGCTATGTTTCTGACATGGTACACGAAAAGTGCCATTTATTTAAACACTGATTTTAATACTTGAAAAGGTTTGTGATCGCGGGTTATTATTATTTTTACTCTATCACTGAGTGTTGTTAATGGTGAAGGTTGATGGTCTCATTCGGCTCATGGAGGGAGACAATACTGGGCCGATTAACATTGGGAATCCAGGTCTGGCTCATGTGTTGGACATCTAATCTTTCTCCAAAATTTTACTATCTTCTCATGATTTGCTATTGACCAATATAGAGACGGTGATACAATTTTTTTTTATCTTTCAGGTGAATTCACTATGAAAGAACTCGCAGAGACCGTGAAAGAGGTAAAAACCTCTAACGATGACACCAAGTTTGACACTGTCACTGTCACACTACATGACTGTGTCTAATGGTGTCAGCCTTGGTGTCGTCCATGGTTCTAACACTTTTTTTACTGTTCACCGCCCATTCCTAGCTCAGTGTCAACGTGCATTAACACCGCGGGTCGTTTTTTAATTATATAGATGATAAATCCAGAAGTGAAGATCATAGAGGTGGAGAACACTCCGGATGATCCACGGCAAAGAAAGCCGGACATCACAAAGGCAAAGGAGTTGCTGGGGTGGGAGCCGCAGGTGAAGCTGAGGGATGGGATTCCTCTAATGGAGGACGATTTTCGAACCCGGCTTGGCATCCCCAAGACCCACTAGTCACTCATCACCATCTCCATCCCCAAACTATATACATACCTTCAAAGAAATGCTCAAATGTTTACCAAGTATTGTATTGTCTTCTCATTCTTCTTCAAAACCTTGAGGTATTTTTTTCCTTTCTTTTGTGGGAATTTGCTTGTGACAACATACAAGTATCTCAATTATAAATGATTTGTGGAAAACATTGAATAATAATTATAATGTTCAACTTGTGCTTTCTACACCTAGGAGTAGAGGTAGTGTTTGCTTTAGCATCATTCTTTCCATGTTTTACTTTCTTGATATATTGAGGGCATGTTTGGTGAGCAAAGCAAGATTTATAAGATACGGGTTGGTAGGGAAATTACGCGAGTTTTTGAAATTTAAAATGAAAGTATATTGAGGAATTTGAAATCTAATATGATTGTTAGTAACACAAGATGAGTGGCCAGCAATGGATATGAGAGAGGTACTAAAAACCTTGAACTTTTGTAGATTGTAAGTTGTAACCTAAATGTTAACTATTGTGGCATTCACTTGTAAATAGTTTAATAATGGTGTCAATCTTGGGTGGAACGCCCATCATATCCTTGGCGTCCCTTACTCGACCACAAACTACTAAGGGGTAATTCACTTGGATTCGATGCACAAAAAATTATCGTATTGAATAAAATTTTCACGCATCAGAATTCAATCTTGAGTCTTCAGGCTTAATATTCTGTCTCATAACTATCCAAGCAACCGGTTCGGGCCTAAGAGCATCTTTAGCGAGGGAAATTCAAGATGCACCCATTTTATATGTTAAATAGTTTTCACAATGCCACATTAGTTAAGCAATCCCATGCATAAGCAACTCACATACTCCATAAAGAGTGTTTTACTCTAATGGTGCAAACACCTAACAACTTCATATTTTTTACTCTAATGGTGCAAGCACCAATACTCCATTTTTTTAAAAATCTACTTTAAAATATCGAAAGCGGAGGGCCGCTCAAATGAGGATGAGTCACCTTCACAATTATATTTTTTTCTCTCTTCTTGATATTTTTTGCTTATTTGTATGTTTTCATTAATTATTTAATAAAATAAAATATTCTTGTCACCTTTTATTTTGTAGAATTTTGGACTTAGTTTTTTACTCCATCCGTCCTAAAACTTTCTTCCCAGAGTACTATTTCAACTTTACGGGAATTTATATTTATTTGTGTTTTTTCATGGCCTATATGATAAAATAAAATATTCTTGTCACCACTTGTTTTGTTGAACTTTTGATGTAGTTTTTAAATATGTATGTTTTATTTTTTATTTCTATACCAATATTTAAATAAAATAGATTGAAAAAACTTGAGATTTTTTTTCGTTTTGCGCAACGGGAAGAAAGATATAGGACGGAGGGAGAAATATGTAATTTCATTTCTTATTGATGCACCAATTTTTAAATAAAATGACTTCAAAAATCATGATATTTTACGTCTTAATTTCCACTTTGTGGACAAATTCTATGGTAGTCTTAAAGTTTGCTTTGGACTTATATATGAAGAAAATAAGTATTTTTATTATTTAGATAAGTATTTGTTTTTAAAAAAATAAAAATAAATAAAAAGATTGTTTGTGAGAAAATCTATAAAATTAATATACAATCCAATGTACATCATAGAAACACTCCATTTTAAAAAACAAGTGGTAACCTTAATCTCCTCACACGTACCAGTCACATCCCAAAGTACTCCGTACTCAATTACGGAGTTAATTAGGCAACTTAGGTGTGTGGTAATGACAATACTTACTGTGTAAATCACCAATAAATGCCGGATTGTTTGCGCATGTGCTTTATTTGTCTGCTTGCTGACAAATCGGACGTGGCTATTACTTGGTCGTGGCCCCACCTCTGTCCGCAGCCTTTCACACCCTATTGGCAGGACATGACAGCCTTAAGGGAAAATGACCACTTGCTCCTTCTCACTCTTTTTATGTAAATAATACTTCCTGTCTTGTCTGTGAAATGTGTTTTTAATTAACGTATGCATTTTGGATAAAATTTTAACGATATTGATTAATTCTTATAATACTAATGCTAGAAGCTACGAAATTGTCAAATAAGTTTTTTAAAACGCTAATTCCTAATGTCGATGTGATCTCTAAGACCCTTCAACCTTGTATTAATTGACTTAAAATATCATAATCCCATGTAATAGCAAGGTTGCCTTTCATTGGGACCATCATGCTTCAAACTCAAAGTCTCACACATTTTTACTTTTTAATATTTTTCTTACAAATAAATCTAAAAAAAGAGTACAAATCACATATTTAAAAATTATATAAAAACTTTTACAAAATAAATAATAATATGATTATTTAATTTTATCAAACTATCAATTATAACACATATACAAACAAAAAAAATTTAAATTTTAGATTAAAGAGAGTGATTAATTTGGGAGGAAAGGGAGTATTTAAATCTCTCAAATACTCCGTATAAATAATCAAATAAACGAGAGCCAAGCAATGACAGGGAGAGAGAAAGAATTTACGAATTCGCCGGCGGATCTCAGAGCTGTGGCATCCGGCGGTCTTGTCGGCAAAACCCTTAAAGTTCTGACCTAAACTTTCGGAGGCTCCAGCTTTTTGCGGGTTTCCGGGAGAACATGGGAATTCTTTTGGACGACGTCGTCCTAATCGAGCACGGGAAAAATTCCGGCGACCCGACCGTCGTGACGGTGAACTGCCCCGACAAAGCTGGGCTCGGATGCGACCTCTGTCGAATAATCCTAGAATTCGGTCTCTATATTACCCGTGGAGGTTAGCCGCCTTCAATTTTTCTTCTTCTTCTTGGAATAAATAAACCTTGCCGTTGTTGGATTTGCAAAATAAATGAAATAAAAAAGTTCCCTTTTTTTATTTTTCTTTGGAAAATAATGTTCTTTCTTTGATTTTGTTTATGGAGATTTTATTTGTAGCATTGAGTTCACTAGTGATGAATTTTCATAGAATCTTGAGTATTTTTTTTTTGTTCTCCCATGCATTGAAGGCTCATCATCTTAAACTCCAAGTTGTCTGGTTTTCTTTTTTCATCCCTACCAAAATGTTTTACCTTCTCTCTCCTCAATTAATCTACTTTGATTTCACGGATTTTAAGAAAAATATTGAAAAGTAAAAATAGACAATTTAAAATTGAATTTCTCTGAGTAAAGAGAAAGATTTTTGAACAATTTATTCTTTACTTTATTTAATCAGGCATGTAAGAAAGTAGGATAATTATTTTGGAATAGAGTAAAAAAGAAAGTAGGACGATTAATTCGAATATTGCTTTTAGAAAAGATTACGTATCACTTTTTAGTTTTTACTACTCAATATTTTTTGAACACTTCTGTGAAGTGGATAAGTTAAGTACATTTTCTCTCTTACTTTTGTTTCTTTTGGCTGAAATAGCATGATTAAGAGCAGTTTTGTAAGTTTTTTTCCACTTTTAAGAATTGTTAGTTCTTTTGAACTTTTCTTAGAAAGGGAAAGCTACTTATTTTGGTTATCTTTTGATCATTTGGCTTACCAATTAAGCAGATTAAACCACTCTAGACTACCAAAAGGTGCCTAAAAGTGTAGAGACTTTTAAATAAGCTTATAAGCTAAATAAAGTTTCTTGCTTTTTTATGTTTTGATAATATATAATTACTCCCTAACAGTTAACACACACGCCACAGTTTTTTCATATCTCATGGAAAATATTGTTTTTCCACACTTTTAATATAGTAGTGAATAAATTTCATATATTTAGAAGCACTATACATGAACCAATGTACTTTTTTAAATGACAAACCCAAGTAATACGGAGTAAATTATGAATAAAAATGTCTAAGAAATTGAGCAGAGAAAGAAGACTTGGTTTGAAAAATAAATAGTAACTAAGATATGGAAAATGACACATAATGAGTACCAAAAGTCAAGTTTGGGCTAGTTTTGAAAAAAGAAATCCAACTTAAGTCTTGAATGGTTTATGTCTATTGCCAATGGAGCTAAAATAGTTGCAATAGACAGTGTTTTAGCTTTGGGTAAATAATGGACCAATTTAAAATGAGACGTTAAACTTCATTTGCTTCTTGACCCCTAGACCCCAACGAGGTTGAGATTATACTGGGTTGTTGTTCTTGTTGTCTTGAATGGTTTATGCTGCTGCAGATTTTTATTTTTTCATCAGCTTGTTGCATTTTAGTGTTTAGCATCTGCGTGATAACTGTTTTCTTGATTGCAGATATATCTACTGATGGAAAGTGGTGCTACATAGTATTGTGGGTTGTTCCGCGCCCAATCTCATTAAAAATTGATTGGGAAAGTTTGAAAACCCGGCTTGTTTCTGTCTGCCCCTCTTGTATGATTTCCTTTTTCATTGAACCGCAGCCAAGTAGCTCTCAGCATCATCCCATCTATCTTCTGAAAGTGTTCTGTTTGGACAGGAAAGGACTATTACACGGTAAGTGCTAATCTCAGCCCATGTTTGGTACTCATAACTGGCTTATTTAGCTTGTCATTACAACATGTTGCCTTTGGCATACTTATCTGGCTGAAATGGATGTTACCAAACACCAAATGCTTTTACCCAAACATGCCCTAATTTTTTTTTTAAATAACTTTGTTTGCCTAGATGTTTGCTTCATGATTCCATATTGTTTTGATTTATGGTGTTGAGGAACTGGCTCAACAAAAAATTCAAACTTGTGGCCGAAGGCTTGAAACATGTGTCATACTCTAACATATGGTTATGTGGCATTTCAGATGTTACCAAAGTCCTTTGTGAGCTTGAGCTATTAATACAAAGATTAAAAGTTATGACAACTCCGGATGGGAAAGTCTTGGATCTCTTCTTCATAACGGATGCAATGTAAGCTGTTTGTTTCGAATCAAGTGCATTTCATGGATCTGTTTTTTTTGGATGATCTGAATGTGAGAGTTCTGAACTATCAGGGACTTGTTACACACAAAGGAGAGACATGACATCACATGTGAACATGTAAGCAGTATTTTAGGGGAATACTGCATTAGCTGCGAGCTCGAGTTGGCGGGACCCGAGTACGAGGGCCAGCAAGCTTTCACCTCCCTTTCTCAATCAGTTGCAGAGAAATTATTTAGTTGCGAATTGTCTGAGAAGGAATCCCTTGAAACAACAAAGGCGAAGAAGAATGCCATTGTTGCAGTGGACAATCTTCTCAGCCCGGCTCACACGTTGCTTAAAATACAGTGCATTGATCAAAAGGGCCTCATCTATGACATTTTGAGGAC